CACTTTGGATGAAAGGGACTCACTGTACTTACTGTAAATCACTTTGGAGGAAAGGACTCACTGTCCTTACTGTAAATCACTTTGGAGGAAAGGGACTCACTGTACTTACTGTAAATCACTTTGGATGAAAGGGACTCACTGTACTTACTGTAAATCACTTTGGATGAAAGGACTCACTGTCCTTACTGTAAATCACTTTGGAGGAAAGGGACTCACTGTACTTACTGTAAATCACTTTGGATGAAAGGACTCACTGTCCTTACTGTAAATCACTTTGGAGGAAAGGACTCACTGTCCTTACTGTAAATCACTTTGGATGAAAGGACTCACTGTCCTTACTGTAAATCACTTTGGAGGAAAGGACTCACTGTACTTACTGTAAGTCCCTTCGGATAAAATAACTCACTGTACTTACTCTAAATCACTTTGGATGAAAGGGACTCACTGTACTTACTGTAAATCACTTTGGATGAAAGGACTCACTGTCCTTACTGTAAATCACTTTGGAGGAAAGGACTCACTGTCCTTACTGTAAATCACTTTGGATGAAAGGACTCACTGTCCTTACTGTAAATCACTTTGGAGGAAAGGACTCACTGTACTTACTGTAAATCCCTTCGGATAAAATAACTCACTGTCCTTACTGTAAATCACTTTGGATGAAAGGACTCACTGTACTTACTGTAAATCACTTTGGATGAAAGGACTCACTGTAATTACTGTAAGTCACTTTGGATGAAAGCATCTGCATTGGATATAACTGCAAGTGGCATATAATGCATCGTTACTATATTACTGGACAGAATATCATATTAGGATGCTGCAACTGTGGAACTATGCACATGTCCATTTCCAACAGCCCTCCAGACAGACTTTCTACAGTGAGGGAGGTGTGTTCTGTCTGTATTGATGATCAACGCCAGAACCAACCAGACCCAGCTCAGACCTCCTTAGCAGAGCACGGATAGCAATCAATAAATACAATGCATGACAAAATGGCACCCCATTCCCTGTTTAGCGCACTACTGGCTGCAGGGTCTGTTGCTGTGCATGACAAAATGGCACCCCATTCCCTGTTTAGTGCACTACTGGCTGCAGGGTCTGTTGCTGTGCATGACAAAATGGCAGCCCATTCCCTGTTTAGTGCACTACTGGCTGCAGGGTCTGTTGCTGTGCATCACAAAATGGCACCCCATTCCCTATTTAGCGCACTACTGGCTGCAGGGTCTGTTGCTGTGCATCACAAAATGGCAGCCCATTCCCTGTTTAGTGCACTACTGGCTGCAGGGTCTGTTGCTGTGCATCACAAAATGGCACCCCATTCCCTATTTAGCGCACTACTGGCTGCAGGGTCTGTTGCTGTGCATCACAAAATGGCACCCCATTCCCTGTTTAGTGCACTACTGGCTGCAGGGTCTGTTGCTGTGCATCACAAAATGGCACCCCATTCCCTGTTTAGTGCACTACTGGCTGCAGGGTCTGTTGCTGTCCTCAAACGCACCAACACGCTGCTTGGTTCACGTCTGGTGCTCAGACTGTGGCCATTTACCCAGAAACCTGCAGGGACACAACCAGACTGCACCACAGATTTTGTGTGTGTGTGTGTGTGTGTGTGTGTGTGTGTGTGTGTGTGTGTGACCAGACTGCACCACAGATGTAGATGTAAACTTGCTATGGCATTTACACTAAAGGTATGTGGACACCCCTTCAAATGAGTGGATTATGGCTATTTCAGCCACACCCGTTGCTGACAGGTGTATAAAATCAAGCACACAGCCATGCAATCTCCATAGACAAACATTGCCATTAGAATGGCCTTACTGAAGAGCTCAGTGACTTTCAACGGGGCACCGTCATAGGATGCCACCTTTCCAACAAGTCAGTTCGTCACATTTCTGCCCTGCTAGAGCTGCCCCGGTCAACTGTAAGTGCTGTTATTGTGATGTGGAAACGTCTAGGAGCAACAACGGCTCAGCTGTGAAGTGGTAGGCCACACAAGCTCACAGAACGGGACCGCCGAGTGCTGAAGCGCGCAGCGCGTAAAAATCGTCTGTCCTCGGTTGCAACACTCACTACCAAGTTCCAAACTGCCTCTGGAAGCAACGTCAGCACAAGAACTGTTCGTCGGGTGTTTCATGAAATGGGTTTCCATGACCGAGCAGCCGCACACAAGCCTAAGATCACCATGCGCAATGCCAAGCGTTGGCTGGAGTGGTGTAAAGCTCGCCGCCATTGAACTCTGGAGCAGTGGAAATGCGTTATCTGGAGTGATGAATCACGCCTCACCATCTGGCAGTCCGACGGACAAATCTGGGTTTGGCGGATGCCAGGAGAAAACGACCTGCCCCAATGCATAGTGCCAACTGTAAAGTTTGGTGGAGGAGGAATAATGGTCTGGGGCTGTTTTTCATGGTTCGGGCTAGGCCCCTTAGTTCCAGTGAAGGGAAATCTTAAAGCTACAGCATACAATTACATTCTAGACCATTCTATGCTTCCAACTTTGTGGCAACAGTTTGGGGAAGGCCTTTTACTGTTTCAGCATGACAATGCCCCCGTGCACAAAGCGAGGTCCATACAGAAATGGTTTGGTGTGGAAGAACTTGACTGGCCTGCACAGAGCCCTGACCTCAACCCCATTGAACACCTTTGGGATGAATTGGAACGCCGACTGCGAGCCAGGCCTAATCGCCCAACATCAGTGCCCGACCTCACTAATGCTCTTGTGGCTGAATGGAAGCAAGTCCCCGCAGCAATGTTCCAACATCTACTGGAAAACTTTCCCAAAAGAGTGGAGGCTGTTATAGCAGCAATGGGGGGGACCAACTCCATATTAATGCCCATGATTTTGGAATGAGATGTTGGACGAGCAGGTGCCCACATACTTTTGGTGATGTAGTGTATTTACAACATTACCGTTAATAGCAGAGCAAAACTGCCATTTCAGTTCATCATCATGTAGATAGAATGAAGAGTCTGGAGATTCTACAGCACCAGGCTGATCATTCAGGTAATCACCCATGCCATAACGTTGAATTGAATTGAATTAAATTAAATGGCAAATTCACCACCTAAAACTTGTGACGCATTGTAGACTACAGTACCTGGAGGGATGTAGTACTTACGTCACAGCGGTGTCTCCTTTGGCTCTGAACAGAAGTAGAGAATTATACAGTTTAGGGAATAGGGTGCCATTTGGGACGTACCCTCTCTCTCTCTCTCTCTCTCCTCGAGATCTCTTCTCATCTCTCTCGGGTATTCTATCTCTTCTTTCTCTTGTATCTCTTTCTCGGTAAACTTTATGTATCTCTTCTTCTCTTATCTTATTCTATATCTTTGTATCTCTCTTATGTGTATTCTCTATGTATTTAATCTTCTTTATTTTCTATTTCTCTCTCTCTCTTTTTATACATTTTTTTATATATTATTATTATTTGATCTTTCTTATTTTATATTTATTTATTATATTTTATTATGTATTTATTATATTTTTCTATTTTTTTTGTATTCTCTTTGATTATATTTATGTATATATTATTTTTCATTTATTTATTCTCTTTATATTTTTTCTCTTTTTTTCTCCTTTTCTCTCTCTCTCTGTATCCTCTCTTTTCTTTCTCTCTTTTTCTCTTCTCCTCTCCTCTCTTCTCTTCTCGTATCTCTTCTCTCTTATCTCTGTATCGCTCTCTCTATGCTCTCATATGGATCTGCTCCCTTCTCTGTATCTCCTCTATGTATCGCTCTCTCTTTATTCTCTTTCTCTGTACTCTATCTCCTCCTTGTATCTATCCTTCCTGTTTCTTCTCTGTATTATCTCTAGTTGTATCTCCTTTCTCTTCTTTTCTTCCCATTTACTCTCTCTAATCTCTTTCTTTTTTTCTCTTATTTATCTCTCTTCTTATCTCTCTTCTGTATCTCTCTTTTGTATCTATCTCTCTTTTTTCTCTTTTCTTCTCGTATCTCTCTTTCTCTCTTTTTCTTCCCTTTATCTTCTCTCTCTCTGTATCTCTCTCTCTCTCTCTCTCTCTCTCTCTCTCTCTGTTTTCTCTCTTATCTTCTCTCTCTGTATCTCTCTCTCTCTGTATTTCTCTCTCTCCTCTCCCCCTCTTTTCAACGTGTCTTCCTTAATTTTGCTCTCTGGCTGAAGGCTGGCCCAAAGTCTGGACTGAGGGTTCACCCACACACATAGCACCTCATTAACCTTTTAGTAAGCGTTCACTGTAATGTTGCACTGTTGTATTCGGCGCATGGCCAAAAAAAATTAACCCAAAAAACCCAAAAAACCTTTTATTTTGGGCAAAG